CCAAATCGATTGGTTAAGTTTTTTTAAAATAATTTTTTATTTTTTTAAAATAAAAAATGTATAAAAAATTGTTTGACTGCTCAGTTACAAAAAACTATCTTTTTTGAAAATTGAATCAAATAGACGATTGCACAATATCTAATTGGTATTACCTTCATTCGTAATTTTTTTTATATATACCAAATAAAAAAAATAAAAGAAACCCATTGATAGCCTAATGGCTATTAGAGCATTCGCACCAGCCTCTCCTAATTTTGGCTCAAAAAAAATACCACTTTAGCTTTTTAAGAGTCACGTCAGCAATTTCAAGAACTGCGTTCTTTTAAACTTTTTTCTAAGGGCTATATTTTTTATTTTTTATCTTATATAATGAACACTCATTATATGGATAAAAAATTATAACTTTAAACATTACATTATCCATTATATGGATAAAAAATGATAAGACTAATATTACACAAATTTAAACATACATTATCCATTATATGGATTAAAAGTTAGGATTGATGTTAAACTTCACGATATGCTAGCAACATTCTAACTCAAATTCAGTGCCAGTTTGACTAGGAAACACCTCTTTAGCTTCTTTCATCTACACACAAAAATTAAGAATAAATTAAAAGCCAAATATTAAATTATTTACGAGTTATATTTAAAACAATAAATAACTCACCATATCATTGAAACCACTTAGGCGATTCATTTCAATATTAGTCATACACCTAGAAAATTTATTGATTCGCTTTCGGATGGTGAACCAATGATTCATCAAAACTATTGCATTTTGCGAAGATGAAACACCAAAATGTTGTACATAGCTCTCAAGGATTCGCATTCATAACTTTTTCTTCAAAGCTATTGCATTTTGGGAAGATGAAACACAAAGATGTTGTACATAACTTTCAAGGATTCGCTCCCGTAACTTTTTTCTTACTTTGATCGGCCTCTATATTCGCATCAGAAGTAATGGACATCCACACCCAACATAAAACCTCATTTTCGGTAGTGAACCAATTTCGATTTCAGATAATCGGGAATCCATGGAATTTGATTGAGTTTGAAAATAATAACTAAGATTGATAAAATAAAAGATGAAATAGCTTGAATTTTTTTTTCTTTCCCTAATTGGTACTCACACACACATGCCTCCACTAAGGCTCGAATCCCTCTTATCTCTTTGAGAGGTAGGGGCCTGGTACCACTAGGCCACTAGCATGTTGGTGAAATAACTTGAATAGTAGAGAATAAAGATGGGTTAGATGTGATGAATGATGGTAGGAGTTATGTATTTATAGAAGAGAAATAAATTTTTTATTTTTATTTTTTGAAAAAAGTTAAAAAAGAAAATAGATTAAATTTTTTTTTTTTAAAAAAAATTATAGCCTTTAAGGCATTATTTGTGTAAGCGAAAAAATGCCTTAACATCCAAATGCACTATTTGTGGCAGAAATTTAAAATTTAAAGCAAAAAAAGTTTAAAAAAAAATCAAATTTTAAGGAAAAAAAAAAGTAGGTTTTTTAATTTATTTTTTGGCCCAAATCGAAACATTTTTTGGACAAACACCGTCTAAAAAATATATTTTTTATTTAATAAATTTTATTTATTTATTTTTTAGAAGAGCTTAAAATCACCTATTTTTGAGTTTTATATTTTTTATTTAATAAATTTTATTTATTTATTTTTTAGAAGAGCTTAAAATCACCTATTTTTGAGTTTTTTCAAAAAATACCTGTTCCCAAACAGGGCCTTGTGGCAGACCATTGCTGCCAGATGTCAAAAAGAAAACAAGGCTCCTAACGTGTTTTGTCAAACAAAAAATTAAAAAACAAAATTAAACTGATCGAGCTCGGGCTCGCGATATTCTAAGAGTCAGCCTCCGAGACAATATGGGCCCGTCCAATTTCTGCGAGCCCGTTACAGTGAATTTGGGAGCCGAAACCTGGGAAAAGGCCCTTTGGCCATGGCGCTGCGGATGCTCTTACCCAGCAAACACAGCAAAGCCCAAAATTACAATCAAGCATGTATTTCGTTACTAACATGACAAACAAATTCAGAGTTATATTGCATATGTACGTATTCAGGATTAAATTGCTCAAAAATACTCACTAGATCACAATACTTCTTTATTGAAAAAGTGTTGCACTTTTGTTAACAGTTATATCATTATTTTATACTCATAAAAAGTTACACTTTAATATCACAATCGTGTTAAATATATATTTTGAAAAATCTCAAAAGTATTAAATACGTGATCAAAATAAAAAAATAATTAAACCAAGTATTTGGTTCAATTATTTGCATATCACACGGTTTTATGCTATGAGTTTGTTGTTTTGTGTCCACGTTACTTGCTAGTTTAACATGATATCTTAGGAATACCGAGAATTTAGTATTGAGTAAATGGTGAGATACTGCATGGAAGTATCCTAAGATTTTCAATATTTTTATGATTACTGCATGAAGTTTCTGTTCAATTAAATTGAATAGAGAATCTTTATATTTGCAAATTGAATAATGACAGAAAATCGGATAATTATTTGTGAACTTTCACCGGATGTCTTTCAAAGGTGACTATTCAATATCTTCTCTCACTTCACGTGACTTGGGTACTGAGCAATTGGGTGGATTTCATCTTCAACCTCACAAATTGCATGAATCAGATTTAAACAATAAATTACAGATACTAAATCAAATCATGTGCCTAGTCTCAAAGAGTGTTCTTTACTTAAGCCTTTGGAAATCTAGTGAAGAGTTCTTAAATTTTTATTTTTATTTTTATTTTTTCAAAAGAAGTCCGATAATATGTGAGAAAATTTTGAAATTGTATCAGACTCACAAGCTTCGCTTAGCGTTGATTGTGGCAAATCTATAGACCAAATTAGAACTCATGGACGAAATCAATAGATCGATTGAAACAAATAAAAAATTAAATAAATCGATACAAAGCCCCTCGGTTACAACATTGAAGATGTTCCCGTTGGTAGTATCTAGAAATTCCGATTTGCTGGTAAGAATACAAATTCATTCTCAAATAGATATTAATACAATCATACCTATATCTATACGTGTGTGCGCGCGTGCGCGCATGGAACTCCAAATGTCACCTCCCCAAGTTTTTCTTTTCTTTTATTTTTTTTTATTTTTGATGAGTAGCACCTTCCTAAGTTATATCCCTCCATTATTTTACAGTCAAACAATATATGCAAAGATGCACTCCAAATGATTATGATAACAACCTCAATTTAATCGATCAATGGCTTCAACTTATAATCCAATGGTCCTTAAAAATTAATTTAAGCATTTTATCATCTATTTTTTTCCAAAGCATCAGTCCAGTACTGGAAATATATAAAATAAAATAAAATATAAAATATAAAAAGCAGACAGATTCATTTTTTATCTTTATTTTCTGTTACATAGATTGATGTTTATTTCAAAGATGACTTTAACTTAAAACACTTCATCCACTGCCATCTTTATAGTTAAACAAAAAAAATTAAGTGTCAAGAATTATACATATGGAAGTTACTGATCGATCTTATTTTTCTATGCCAAAGAGACAGAAATATTCATGAATATAAATTTGAGAAAACAAGAACTCCACAACAAACAAGAGATAATTAATTTCATGAAATGTCTATCCGAGTTTAATTCCTGATGTTGTATTTGAGAGCACTAAACCAAATTCAAGGCACAGATTTGGTACTCCCAAACATAACTTAGATTGTACTTTCTGTGAACTTACTCAATGCCCATAAGAGTAATGATAGGGGAATCGAAAAGGAATCCTTGAATTAACACCGAATTTAACGTGGCTGGCTATATTTATCACGTGTTAAGCAATTATTTTTTGAAAAGTGTTTAAGTAGATGAGGTGGATAAAAATACGTCAGATTCGGAATTTATTCGGAAAAATTATTCGGCGACCCTATCATTTTTCATGTTTTAAAAGTCCAAAAAACTTTCTTGGAAGTTATATATATACAACGTACAGATGATGTAGGCAAAGGAAATAACTACCAAATTGTTCACAATTATAAATGTATTTGGAAGATTTCTTAGTAATTGACCTGAGGAATTAGTCTTCCAAATGCAAACTTTTCAAGCCACATTTGATCTATAAATAGACACCAACCCAAAGAACAAATATATATATGTACCTACTTATTGGTTGGTACGTTCTGTCTGAGCAATAAGAAATCTATAGAGCTACCCTCATTAATAATGTAAGTTAATTTCCGGCACAATGTACGTAATATTGCTGTATATCATTGTGGTTAACTCTATATTTTACAAATATGTGTTTATGTATATATACATGTAGATTATCACCTGTATCATCATTATTTGTTTGAAATTATAAGTTGAAACTGTATTCCCATATATTGTTCTGTACATAACAATATATGTGCATAGATATTTTTACAAGCAACTATATATATTCGTCTATATATGTGTAATGTTTATATTTTGTAGATTTTAATTAGTGAGATAGTTAGAAAAATTCTTTTTGTATCCTTCTTTAACTTTTTCCTTAAAAACTAATCTATCTAAAACACACACACACATATTGTATACTAAAGGTTTCCTTTCTTCTTCTTTTTTAACACACACACACATATAAACATATAGTAATTTTTTATTTTTTATTTTTCACATGCAGTCACGTTCAATGGACTACTCTATGAAAGCTCCTAAGAGTACTTGTGTTCTGAAGTTGAACATCTGCTGCTCGAGGTGTGAGAAAAAGGTGAAGAAACTGCTGCAAAACCTTCGCGGAGTCGATTCAGTTTTCGTAGACAAAGAAAATGGAAAGGTGACCGTCTCAGGCACCGTAGACCCACACAAACTCAAAACCCTACTCGAAAAGGCCGGCAAAAAAACGGAGTTTGTGTACTTGGCTCAATCCCATGACAACAACCATGACAAATATGCAAATTGTACCATCAACACCAATAGTAGTCCAAGGCCAAGGGATGTCGAATGACATAGATTCAAATATGGTGGCACAACTCAAGCAATTGTCCTCACAAATTCAACGGTTGAAACATGTTGAGTTCACTCATTCCAAGACTGTCCGGTTGACTTTCAAGGGCGAAGCTGACACCCACGGTGCCAAGATAGTTGTGGATGACAAGATCGTTGTGGATGACGGTGGTGGTGGTGGTGGAGGAGCTGCCCCGTGTCGTGGTGGTGGTGGTGGTCATCATGTGGTGCCCCATGGCTGCCATGATGGGGCTTGTGGTAGTGGTAGTCATCATGGACTACCTAGGAACGTTTGTGCTATGCACAACCAATGCGGTGGCGGGTACTGGCCACCACCGCCATGTGGGTGCATTCCTCCACCGCCCCCGCCGCCTCCAAGGCCAAGCTGGAACTATCCGTCAGGGCCACAGTATGTACCAAATTATGATCCAAGTGCACCTCCTGCGCCAGTTGGATACCCATACCACAGCCACTTCAGTGATGATAATGTGAATAGTTGCGTCGTGATGTGAGCTGCTACAACAATTTAGTTTCGTTGGACTTTTGTTTCGATGAACTTGGAATTTAATTTCCTTTTCACTTTTGTTTGCTTTTGTGAGTGTTTATGTTTGAAGTTATCGAATCAATCTTGATATTAAAATTAAATAATTTTTAATTTTAAAATCAAGTCATTAATTCGATGCTCTCAGACATTAGCTTTAGAAGTTTGAAAGTTTTTTTTTTTTTTGTTACTATTGTAAGTATTGATGTTACGTCCGGATGTTAGTTATGTATATTTGTCTATTGTTAAATTGTTAGTCATGTAAGTTAATTTTGTGATGGAACTTTGTAACTACCATACTTGGTTATAATATTATAAATGGAGAAGACTAAATCATTTTCATGCCTAAAAAAAATGAAACTTTATTAACAAGCGTTGGTATTGATTGTTGTTCTTACTTACAAAGACTACCAACCAAATATAAAATGCTAATTAATAAATGTGAAATCCAAATCCCTAGCTTCTCAATCTTTACAAGGTTGTCTTTCTTCCGTGAATATGACTTTGCATACGTTTGTTGGATAGTTTTTCTTAATTAAGTTGACTTACCTTAAAATTTATAGAACTTTTATTCCATATATCTATATCCTTCTCAATTTCTTTAGATGTAAGGTTTTTTTAAGCAAATATAATATGAAGTACAATACTTGAGTCCTTCCACGAGAGGATCATGAACTTTATTCTCCTAACTGAAGTGGTCCAATACAATTAATATTATCCAACTTCTTAGAGGTTAAACCCAAATCCAATTTTATTTTTTTTTCCAGAAAATATTAGATGACTAATATTAACTTCCCTCTTAAACACCATAGGATGATATGATAGATTATTATATAATGATAGGAGTATAGGACATGAACAGGATAATATATTTACATTATTATATTACTGTTGATATTTTTATAAATTAAAACACAAAATTTGAAATAATATAAATTATTTGTCATATTTTATATAGTGTTACTCACATGACAAACAACTTCATAGTTGAGAGTTATATTGCATATGTAAATTCTGAATAAAATTTCAAAAAAAAAAAAAAAAAAAACAACTTCTCATTATATCTCAATACTTCCTTATTGAAGAAATGTTAGCATTTTTTTTTTCTTATAACAATAAGACCAGGATTTTATACTTAAAATTTTATATTTCAATATTAAAAATAGGGTAAAGTGCAATAAACCCCCCTTAGCTATTACCTTTTTAACAAAGAACCTCCCTATACTATAAAAGTAGCAAACAACCCCCTGAACTTTGCATTTTAGTTGCAGTTTACCCACTCTGGTGATCTGCCGGCTGATTTTGATAGCATGCATGTCACGTGACGACTCAAATTTAATGACTATACCACCCTTATGAAGGTTAAAAGATCATAACACCCTTCTACTACTTGATCCAAAACCCCACCAAACAAGCCTTGTCATCCCAAAAATCTCTCATTATTTCTTCCTCAATCTCGCTCGACTGATAGTTATCTCTATATGCCTATATATATATATATATATATATATATATATATATATAGTTCAAAAAATGTGGAGGGTTATGCGTCCAAGAATTTTCAGAGGAAGCGTCGTCTAGGAAAAACAATTGCAGAGACGTGTTTCTTTTAGTCTTCGCTGAAGCTCTCACTGAAGCCCTCTCAGTTAATGGTCTGACCGGAGCTCACCGGTTTTTGAGATTGAGCTTTGTTATTGCAATCTGGAACACACCGGAATTTGGTCTAAGATTCGTCGGAATCAATGGAGTAATTAGCTAGGAGCTTTTTCCCATATTCAATGCAACTCTGGTTGAAATGGTATTCATTGGGTCAGTCTGGAGCTCTGAACTCTTACCCCTTGTAGGTAACTGAAGCTCTGTATCTTCGTCGGTGGTGTATAGGTGAGTTTCTTTGATTTGGTTGCTGCAACTTTCTAGGTCTCACCTGTTTTTCACGAATGAAGATTCTCCGGCTGTTTGGGTAGCTGAATCACAGTGCTTTTTAGGCTAGTTTATCACTAACTAAAGTTTTCTAGTTTGAACGCTGTAGCTGTCGATGGATTTCCTTTTTCTGTATATAAATCCATGAAGCTCCACACCTTAATTGAATCTTCAAGGCTCGTAATATATTCATCTTTTCATTGAGATCAACTACTTCAGATGAAGCACCATCTTTTGCATTTGCTATATTTGGTTGCTGACTTGGTCTTTGTTGCGTCCGGTTATTGCCAAACCCATCAAAATTCAAGTAAATGGACAATTGGTATCTTTCTCTTATATATATACACCCACACATATATACATAACAGAGTTGCTCTGTGTTTCTTGATTTTGAACTTCTTGATGTTGTTTTAGGGTCCGCAAAGTAGATTATCATATTCCAGTTTCTCAGAGACTTTGATTACATTATGGCTCCAAACTTGGCACGGCTAATTTCAGAAGAGACCCATGAAATTGTGACTTTGATTTCAAATGGATTAATGAGGGCATTTTTTGCTGGTTCAAACGGATTAAGGAGATCAACCATGGATCAATACAAATAGAGTGTAGTCTGTACTATGCATATACATTTACTTATATGTATACACAGTGGATTTTGTTGTTGGGAAAGAACTAAGAAGAAACAATGATGGTGGTTTGGTTAAGGGAAGAGATAATGGGTCAGTGGTAAGTTGCATAGGTGTCCACATTTTAGTGGCTCTTCTTATTACATTGGTCCCACATCATTTAACCAATTTTATATTTACATATGAATGTTAAACCACCCCTTTTTTATTTAAGGGGTAAAAATGTCTTTACCAATTTTCGGTAATTAAAAGAGCCGGAATAATTTTCTCTTTCCTAAAACTAAGCCAAATTCATAGTTGGAGGGGGTTATTTTTAATTGAGGGGGGTTGTTGCATTTGGGGTATAGTTGAGGAGGGTTTAATGCACTTTACCCTTAAAAATATGTTAAATATAGGTTTCGAAGAATCAATGACTACAGAAAGTGTTGTAGCCAACAAGTACAATGCGACACAGATACGTATACTTATACGGCCTGTAGACATATCCTTAATTTCTTCATACTGGTGTGTGTGTGTGTGTGTGTGTGTGTGTGTGTGTGTGTGTGTGTGTGTGTATCACCCCATTATCAATTATTGATGCCGTGCTGTGACTGCTTGTCAGTTGTTTTGTGTCCACATCATTCGTTACCTTGCTTGACTAACCATATGATCTTTTGTTAGTTGATACATTAATTAAGTTGATACCATATCATGTAATAGATGGGTAAAGAACGAGTACTTTAACATGATGACTTCATGAAGCTTATATTTGTGAATTTTATGGACTCTTTGGGTTTAATTAATGACTTTTATATACTTTATAGTTTATGCATTGATGTTTATTAGCTTGGACTTCGAAGTTACCTCAAGTTAGGGTTATAAAGAACAGCGTGACAATTCAGTATTCAAATTACCGAAGCATGTAAACAATTTAAATTCAGTAAATAATGATTGTCTTAGGCTGCATAAGAAGGAATATCCTTCTTATGATGAGGTGACCCAATAAAATATCAATAAATGTTAAAATTGTAAAAGAAAAAAAATAATAATAACTACATGGAATAGTCCTTCCCTCTTTCTCTCTCACGCAGATATATATTACTTCGGGTTTCTGATTTTTCTTTCCATTACCGGGGCATTCCTTTATCTAATAGATCTTAAGGATTTTTGTAGCTTCTCCTTTTTGAGTGTATAGGTACAATCTTTCAACCTTCCTACCTTCCTCATAAACAGAAAGAAATAGGAGGAAGAGGATATCTGAAGAAAGACTATCTGCATATCTAAAAAGTAGCAATAGAAGGAAGAGGTATCTGGTTCTATTATTTCAGTTATTGGTTGCTTTTTTTGCCTTCTTCTCGAGTGGTTGCCGACCCATTAGCCTGTCACCTGTATATGATTTTAGAAGAAATGGGAATCATCATCGGTGGTGTCATTTTACGGCTCTGGCAATAGGTTTAACTCCAGATCCATGACGCCGAGTTGGAATTTGGAACGATTCCATGGAGCTTGCTTTCTCGAGGAGGAGCTGATTGAATAGCCTATGAATACTTCTTAAAGTTTTTATTGCCTGTAGTCATGCCCCATTACATAACAAACAAGGGACAACAACTTTAATTATTTGGTTTGGCACCAAAGTTCACCTCTACTCACAATCCCACTAAATAATTCACTGATAATGAAATTCCAATCACGCCCCAACACACACACACACACACACACAAAAGAATTATTGCGACTTAATACAGAACAGATTGCTGAAGATTTTGGAGCCCATTTAAAATGTCAAAAAGACAAACGGGCAAGCTGATTCAGTTTTTTTCGGATGATTCGAGGAATTCGTTTTGACCCAAATAGACCATAGTTTGATCGGAAACTGCCTAACTCACAAAAATCAAGAGCTTTGTTGCTGAGGTAGGACGTCTTTCAGTCGAATTCAATCGTTTAGGATTCTGGAATTGCATTTTTACAATTTTGAATATTTCGAGATTTTTGTAAGAAGACTAAACGGATTCGAATTACTTTCCTTTCCAGAATTTAACAGTTTTTAGTAAATATGTTTCTTTCCTTATTTTTACAAAATTATCGAAGCAAGTTTGTTTTTGAGCAATTTCCTTGCGCCGCAAGTTTCCTTATATTTTTAGGGTTTTTTCTATACTGTTAAGGTTTCTTATTTATACGTACATGTACTTAAGAGAAGATCATTAATTCATTTATCAATAAAATTTTGGATTCCTTTGTGAATTCTCTTTTTCCTTGTGGACATATTCAAGGTACCTCACTTTGTGGATTCAAGGAAACACTCGTCCTTTGTGAACGGTTGATCCTTTACCCTGGTCTCTGATGATGATTGCTAGTTTTGCTAGCACCCATTTTGTCGACATTAATTGTAGAGTGAAGGCCCCAGCCATACATACTCAAGAATGGTTAGTGGCAACTGGTTTTGGGA